CCCAACCAGTTCGAGGGTTCCATGGTTCTGTGTCCTTTAAGGACCATTCCAACCCAACCAGTTCTGTTGTTCCATGGTTCTGTGACCTTTAAGATCCATTCCACCCCAACCAATTTTAGGGTTCTATGGTTCTGTGACCTTTATGCACCCATTCCCATCTCAGTCATTTTTTGGGTCCAGTTTTTCTTTGATCTTTAAGTGCCTTTTCAACTAATTGATTTTGTCCGTTCTTTCATGATCTTCAAGGAAGCTTCCCACTCATCCATTGTATTGTTCTGTAGTCTTTTGGGACCCAAGCATTCCATGGTTCCATGATCTTTAAGGACCCAACCATTCCTTTGTTCCACGATCTTGAAGCACCCTTCCAACCCTGTCTATTCTGTGATTCCATGATTTTAAGGACCCTTCCACCGCCAGCATTCCATCATCCCCCGGGTTCCGACACCCAAACCCACCCCCCAACCCCAACACCTTCGCGATGCCGCCCTCACCCCGACTCCCCTCCCTCCAGGCTACGAAGGCTATGACTACTACAGCGCCCCGAGCTCAGCCTCCGGCACCGCTGCCAGCTACAGCTACGGCCCCACTGCCACCCCCAGCTCCTGGGACACCCCCAAAGCCCCTGAGCTGCCCCTCAGCGACGTCGGCATCGCCTCGTACAGCAGCGATCCCGCTCCCAGCGACAACTCTGACTCCATCATCGCCAAAATCAACCAGCGCCTCGACATGCTGTCCAAGGAGGGCAGCGGCGGGGCCGGGGAGGGCGTGGAGGAGCAGGAGAGGTGAGTGTGCCATTCTGCTGGAGTTAGCGACGCTGAAAAGAAGCAAACTTTGGTCTGGTGTGGTTCTAATTTCAGATTGGGTTGATCTGATTGCGCTGGATCCGGTTTTCATTGAGTGATGAGCTTAGCTGATTAGCTTTCAGCTGGCCCCACGTCTGCACGCCTTCTTGCAGAGAAACGCAGCAATGAAAGAATCATTTTGCCTAATTGTTTGTTGTTGTTGGTTGTCTTTTTTTTGGCTTTTTTTTTTTTTTTTTTTTTTTTTTTGTGCTTAGAAGCTTTGAGGTTTTTCTTAATGGGTTTCTGGAACTCTTTTTTGCTGTTTATTTTTGTGCCTTTTTGCTCCTGGCTTTTGGAGCTCTCCTTTTACTGATGGAGCCCTTTCTGTGCTCCCAGGGCTGTGGAGCTCCTTGTGTCCATAGTAAGTTTCCCAAACCCCCTTTTCATCCACGTCCCCTTTTCCTCGAGGCTCCGTTCATTTGTTTTCTTCTCCAAATCACGGTGCCAAGCGCACAGACCCTCCAGGCAGACGCAGACACCCACATTTAGAATCCTCTTCCATTTTTCTGGCCGGGCACATTTGAATTGTGACCCATCCAGGCTCACACACCCTACAACCAAACACAAACACCCGTATTTAGAACGCTCTTCCACTGGAGCGCTCAACTGAGCTACAGCTCACCGCAAAGGCTGCGCCGTTCGCCCTCTGACTCCTCTCCTCTCCTCTCTCCTCTCTCCTCTCTCCTCTCCTCTCCTCTCCTCTCCTCTCCTCTCCTCTCCTCTCCT